AGAAGCAATAATTAGTTAATTGAGAAAAACTTTACTTCTTTCCCTTAGAAGGTGTTATGTTATGTGCTGTCAAATTGGAACTGAATTATAGTGACCTTCATGGAGCTTTCAAGTGAGACATTTAAGGAATTGCTTTACCAGTTCCACTCCTTCCACCCTGAGTTCCCATGACTGATCAGGATTCAGATCCAAGGCTTCTAAGTCCTACTCAATCACTCTTTCCACAATACCACATTGGGTCTCTCTAAAGAATATCTAGCATCAAGTCATCCATAACATCATTTGCTTTAAACGCATCTTCTCTTCAAGCCTACATAGATCGATAACAAGACTATGTAGTGGCTGCTTAAAGACTGACACATGGTCAAGTACAGTATATATGGCACAGTCAGACTGTACTGTATTTAAATGTAAGTAATTTATCTTGTGTGCTTCTTTATCCCCTTTCCCATTCTATTTACCACCCCCACTTGCTTCCTGATGCATACTAACCAGCTTGAATTTTAAGTGTATGTTGTGTGTTTCCATTTTAAAGCGGTATACTGTATTTGCTAAGCTTTGTCAATGCCTATTGTTCTCTGCATAATGTAATTCTCCAAGTCTCTGTCTTCTGCTGTTTGAAAGGTTTCATGTACAGGAGATACCCCCCACCCTGTTTTCAGTAATAGCCTTCCCCTCTTGCACTACAGCTGATCCCATGACAGCTTGAATTTTAAGTGTATGTTGTGTGTTTCCATTTTAAAGCGGTATACTGTATTTGCTAAACTTTGTCAATGCCTATTGTTCTTGGTTGAAAGGTTTCATGTACAGGAGAAACCCCCCACCCTGTTTTCAGTAATAACCTTCCCCTCTTGCACTACAGCTGATCCCATTCTGTAGGGCCCCTTGCCTTTTGCATTAGCATTCTAAATTACAGTACTGAATGGAGTATGAAGGACAAGTGGAGACTGAAAGGGACTCCAAAGGGAAGTGGAGCAATGAGTTCCTTCCTAATCTGGATCCAGTGCTATATCTCTAACACAGAGCTACTCTTATCTCCTGCTTTCCCCTCTTCTCTGCACCAAGGTGTCAAAAGATTTCAAAACTTCTATTTCAAGTATAAACTTCGAAATTCTTAAGAGTTTCTCTCTTCCTGAGATTGAATATTGTAAATCACCTTAATTAGGAATCTATGGTACTTTCTGTTTATGACATTCCTAACAGCTATGACCTTTTCCTTTTATATGCAGAAAAATGCTTCTAAAAGAAGCTTGACTCTATATTCCTGCAGTTACTAAAACTTTTTTGAAATAAGTTTGATAAATAGGCACAGGAGTTAATGAGTTACAGACTTGTTTATGAGGCCATTCCTTTTGTCTGTTTGCGTGCTGTCTAATTGATGGCAGTTTTCTCCCCTGCAAATGCCCAGATAAAACACAAATGATATTTTATGTCATTCTGATATGCAAAGGCAAGAAAATTGCTTGGATGTGTGCTAACTATGCAGATGCCAGACAACTCAGTCTTGCCCTTTAGAAAGAATGAGAGAGGGACTGCCTAGCATTACTTGTGAAGCACAACCTACCTGTTGTGCCCTTATTTCTTGTGTAGGGTATGGTATACCTTGTGATGATATTCTGTCATAATATGTAAAAAGAATGGACCCCAGCCCTGGGCCTGGACATCAATCTTTCCCTAAACTGCTTAATCCATCTGACCCCCTCAGTATTTGGGCTGTTTGGAGCCCACCACTTCAGGGCTTCTTTGCAAGGCTGACATTTCTTTTTAGATCTTCTGCCACATTCTTTCAACCCTTCGAGACAGAGAACTCTTCCTATGGAGCAGCAGCACTGTGATGTAGGAAAATATTGAATCAGAATCATTTCCAGAAAAAAAAATCTGGAGACTTTACTGCTGCCTTGAACAGAGTGTGAACTGGGGGAGCATATGTATTGGACTTGATTTACTAAATTAAAAATAAAGTACAGTGGTGCCCCACATGACAATGACCCACCAGAACGACAAAACCTCAGGACAATGCCTTTTTGCGATCTTCATTTGAAATGGAAAGTAAGCACAACGGCTGCTGGCTACCTGCGTGCAGCCCTGATGGAGCTGTGGGGAAGAGCACATGGGCACAACTTAGATGGAACACTGATCTGGAATACATCTCTATTTAAAATAAGAAGTTTTCCTGTGGTTTTGTCATTAAATGAAATTGGTTTAGTGAAAGATTCCAACTTGTAGAAGGGCAAGATGAGCCCTGAAAGCATAGCAAGTAGAGAATTCGGTCTGTGGCTCTCAGTCTGATTGGCTGTGGCATGGCATGATACTAAGCCAAGAAAGAAATTTGTTGCATTAATCAGACAATTCATTTCACCTGAGTTTTCTTTTTAACACTGAACTATGAGTGGTGGAAAGAGTGCAGGAACACAAGGCTGTGAGGTCAGCCTACCCTGAGTTAATTATGTTTGAAGTGTCGTCCCTGAGAAGCGTTTGGTTTGATATGAATTAGTTCTTTCTAATGATCATCAGCTTCAACTGTTCAAGTCACTCTAGACTTTACAAGTAGTGCTTTAACATTTCCTGGAAGGCTATAAAACGTGATAGCAATGCAATAGAACGCTGTATAGGCCATTACTCTACTATATTACACTGGATATGTCTTTCTGGCAGAAGTGCTGCCAGCCTAGCACTTCACTGCTGCAAAGATGACTGTGGAAGCACTGCTTTCTTCGGACCCTGCTATAGAAGGTCAGAAGTGTTTCTTTAGATTAGATGTTGTATGAGGAAGTAGCACAGAATGTCAGGGTAGGATTTAAAAAATGTTTAGATTTACCTGCACAGTTTAATCTTCATACAGCAGTGACAGCAGGGCCTTGGCCACCAATTGCCCATTGGCAGCTGCCGTGAGCGATCCTGTTGGTTGTTTTTACATATATGACTCTGAGAAGTCAGACTATTGATTGTGATGTGCCTTAAAGCCCAGTATTAGGAGGAGGGAGGCATGGGTGTCTAAATTGCCGACCAGAAGAAAGTGCTGGATGTGACTTTCTCAAGCTGTAGAAAATCAGGGCAGCCATTCATAATCAGGTTTCAATTTGGAGGAAGAGCACAGATATTTTCTTTGTAATAATGTACTCACAATTGTGCAACTTGTCAAGTTGTTTCAGTGCTGGCACAGACATCCTAAAAACCCAACTTTCTTTTGCCTCCCTAGAGAAATTTTTTTTCTACCACTTCTTATATTTATTTTTCTTTTGTTGAACTCGGTATCTTATAATTTGTCAATCCAGTCTTAAGATTGCCTCTCCGCCGTGAAAATACCTGTTCTGGTGTGGCTTTTAATCTACATCTTTTGCGGAAAGAATTCATTCAACTTCTTTGCAGTTTATCCTTCTTTAATTCTATTGTCATCCTACAGTCCAGCTGCCTCCCTAGGAGCAAGGAATTTCTTTGGAAGAACTTTTTTTTGGAATGCCTCCCCCCCCCTCCCATAATATGTTATTTTGAGGAGGGCATTCATGTTTGTAGACTAACATTTCTTTTTTCCAAGTTTGTGTTAGCTTTTCCTTTGGCCAAATTTCTGCCTTCTGAAGGAAGCCGTCTTTGATCCAGTACTTTGGTTGTTGTGGGTTTTTCGGGCTCTTTGGCCGTGTTCTGAAGGTTGTTCTTCCTAACATTTCGCCAGTCTCTGCGGCCGGCATCTTCAGAGGACAGCACTCTGTGCTCTGGTGTAGTTGGCTTGGGAATGCAGTGTTTAAGGCTGTGAGATAGGCTATTGTCTTTTTCTGTAGATGGGTGATTAGTGTATCTTCTTGTGGGTGTATTGTTGTGCTAAGGAGAAGAGATTATCTGTCACTGTGGTTCATGGGTATCATTAGCTGGTCTTTTGTGTGTAGTGATCCCCTGTCCTTGTGGCTGGGTACTTTATTTCACTGGTTCTTAACCTTGGGTTACTCAGGAGTTTTGGACTGTAACTCCCAGAAGCCTTCACCACCAACTGTGCTGGCTGGGGTTTCTGGGAGTTGCAGTTCAAAAACATCTGAGTAACAAAGGTTAAGAACCACTGCTTTATTTGACACTAGCTGTTAACCATCCTGGTGATCTCTTTGATTTTCTGCTACTTTTCCTGACCTGTGCTGTACTTTCCAGCTCAGTTTTGATTTTGAGTAATTCCAAAACTGGAGCAGCTTTTATGATATATGGAAGTCAAAACCTTTTACTTTTTTACTACTTTGTGGTGCTGGAAGAGACATTTGTCCTGTTCATAGTAGTGCTGTCCTCACAGAAAGCCAACATTACTTCATTTGGTTAATTTGGCAGCTTTCCATTCCCTCACCTCCAGTTAAGGATTCCTGCGATGTCCTTCACTTCTGCATTTAAAGTTGCTTGGGAGACTCTGTCATTAGGTAGTCCTGATTGTTACATGGTGTTTGGTCTTTTGAAGTGCCCCTACTGACTTTACTTGGTTATAAGTGTAAATTTCATGGCTTTGAATGGCAGAATTTGTAGCATAAATATATGTGTGTTTACTCTACCATAGACCTTAAAATATTAAAAGAAGGCTGAGTCACTGGAGCTATCAGTAAAATACAAAAACGTAGTTGGCCCATACCCATATTGGGACACCAATACATTTTACGAAAATATTTGAAAAAAGGCACATGAGCTGTCAGATCTTTGGAGATTTCTCATCCAGTTGAACTTCATTTTCCTGCTTTGTACTGGTAGACTTCTTATATACAGTAGATGGATTAGAAGGAAAAGAGGTGGAGGCAATATACTTGTGTCTTAACTTTTTTGATTTGGGATTTTAAATTTTCCCCCCCTTTCCATTATACCATTTGTATTGTAGGCCCAGATTTCCTGACTTGCAGTGTTGTGCTTTTCAGAATCTATATATAGTTATCTTGGTAGCATTTTACTTTGAAAACGAATATATGATTTAACTGAAAAAGTTGAAATGTTTGAAAATGTTATTTTAAAAATTGAAATGGTTTATTTCTTTTTTATTTCAGAATATGACAGATACCTAGCATCTAGCAAAACCATGGCAGCAGCTTACCTAGATCCAAACTTGAATCATACACCAAGTTCAAGCACAAAAACGCATCTCAGTTCTGGAATGGAACGTTCCCCAGGGACAATGGAACGTGTTTTAAAAGTTTTCCATTATTTTGAAAATAGCAGTGAGCCAACAACATGGGCCAGTATTATACGTCACGGGGATGCTACAGATGTTTGGGTAAGTTGCTATTAAATACTTCAGATATGGGTATATGAAGGTCATTCTTAGAATGTGAGCTGGATGACTTGAGGGTGAAAAACACAGATGGCTGAATGTTTACTTTGAAGGTCTTTTATTTAGGACATGCTATGAGTCATTTCAAGCAAAGCCTTAATTTTTTTTAACTATTTTTCTCAAGAGGATAGGAGGGACGCAGATGTTTTATATGCCAATTTAACTGACCTGTTTGATGCTATTGTTTATTTCTGTGCCACCTTGTCTACTATGGGAAGATCATAGCTGAACCACAATCGGTATTCAGATTAATTTTCACCTGCATTAGTTTTGGCTTTGAACCAGTGGGAGGTTTGAAATAGTCCTTAAGAGAGGGAAGAAAGAAAAAGATGGAGTACTTTTCATTCTCTTGCACTGATAAAACAGTGTTTAATCCAAGTGCTAAACAGACCAACCAGGTCTGTTTTACTGAACAGCTTTTATCTGAGTGACTGGAAACATTTTTCATTATTAGGGAAGTATTGTCCATTTGAAGGAGTGGAAAAGGAATGAAAAAAACCCTCCAAAGGCAGGAAATATTTTACATTCGAAATGGACCCTTTAAACATTTGGTTCTTCCCTCTGAAAGAGAGCACAGAATGATTTTTGACATACTGTTAAAATTGTGTGCTCATGACTCCAAGTTGTAAATGAGCATGCCTTTATTCAGTACTTCTCGACAATAAGATAAGGTGAAAGAGCAAAACACTGGTGCACATTTACACAATACTCACCCAAGGAGCCACCCCGCTCCCACTAATTACCTGCAGCTGGCCAACAATCCAACAGCACAGGCAACAACTGCTCCCACTGCTACACTTACTACACAACACATACTATAGAACATATCAGTGGCCAAAACCCTATTGTGTAGATATGCAAGTGGCATGACCTTTAGAGGCAAGTTGTCTCAAGTTAAAAAAAATCATTGTAGACATTATCAGTTGCATGCTGAGTCATGCAACCCACTATGCAAGTTCTATAATTTATGGTGAGTTTCTACCTGGGAGCAATTTGCCTCTGAATGTTATGCCATATGTGCTGTGCCAGCATAATTAGGTGATAGGATATGGCCCAATGTTAAGAGGCTATTAAAGCAAAGCAAAAAAGCAAAGTGTGCTGCTTGCATACCGCCCCATAGCGCTTCAAGCACTTTTTGGATGTTTTTACAAGTTAGTTATGCAGGCTACACATGAAAAAAATTGACGTGGTGAATAAGGAATCAATTTTGTTCAAAGACAATATGTTAAGCTTTGGTAGAGAATGGGAAAATAATTGGTGTCTTAATTGAGATGAGATAAAAATAATGACTTTAATCCACTTGCTAGTTCTAAGTGGAATGACCCCTTCAATCAGTGAAGTTTATAAACATTAAGCAGTTTTAGAAGAGGTAGCCATGTTAGTCTGTGGTAGCATAGAGAAAAACAGAAGGAAAAAAATGAAGAAGACAAAAATGTGGTGATACCTTAAAGACTAAATGCTATATTTTAATGAGAATCAGTCTGAGGAAGTGGACTTGTCCATGAAAGCTCACATTAAAATATACAGTAGCAGTTAATCCTTAAGGTGCCACAACATTTTTGTCTTCTTTATTTTTTCTTTTCTTTTGTGTTTGCCTGATATATTAAGCAGTTGATTCAGTGGGTCTGCTTCATTTCGAACTAACATTTGGATTTTCTTTAATGTATCCCAGCTAATCAGCTAATGTTTGAATCATGTTTTTCACATTGCTTTTAATTTTGTAAAATAAGGTACTACACTAATATAAAAAGAAAAAACAATGCCTGCACGTAGAGTGTGTTTGATATTTGGAATAAAATACATTTATTAATATAAAACAGCTGTCAAACCTACAGTTCAAACCTACAGTTCAATGGGGGGGGGAATTCACAAAAAATTAACGAAGACTCATAACAAAGCCAAATTAAGTTTGCAAAGGTTTTACAGGGTGCACTAACGATTCCAAGCATTTTAAACAGTTTTTGAACATTTTAAAACACTTTAAAAATAGCGAAAACGGACCTGTCAGAAACATTAAAATGCATTGAAACCTAGTCAATGCATTGAAACCTAGTCAATGCATTCCAATGGGGGAACCGTGTTTCGCTTAGCGATGTTTCCTGTGGCGATTTTCGCTTAAGGACGGTAATCCGTTCCCATTGGAACTGATTATCCGGTTTTCAATGCATTCCTATGGGAAATGGTGTTTCACTTAGCGATGTTTTCCCATAGCTATGTTTTTTGGAACCAATTAACATCGCTAAGCGAGGCACCACTGTAAATGGGAATCTAGTAACAGCGCTAGCTGAATAAAATTTTAAAAAGTCATTTTCATCGTCAGCAAAGTACTGGAAGAATGTACTGACAGTTGGCTCCCCTTAGCCAAAACTTTATTAAAATGTCGCTATAGATTTATTTAAACATCTATAGCTAATGTTTATTATCCTTAAACTATTTTATTTTATTTATAATAGAGGAAGATCAGTTATTAGTTACGTTTCTGCATTTTAGTAGAAAATATTAATTATTGAAAGGTATGTTTTCAGAAAACATATATCGATTGAAAAAAAGTTTGCATTTCATGTAAAATCACATATTTGCATTCTTTCTCTTTTTAGGGCATAATCCAGAAGATAGTGGATAGTCACAAAGTAGAAAATGTAGCCTGTTATGGTTTACGACTCAGTCATCTGCAGTCTGAAGAAGTTCATTGGCTACATCCAGACATGGGAGTATCCAACGTGAGGGAGAAATTTGAACTAGCTCATGCACCAGATGAATGGAAGTAAGAGTAAACATATCACTACTGATTAAATGTGTAATTTTGGAGATGGTGTTGCTTGCTTCTCACTGGTTTGAATGGAAGAATGCAGTAAGATTTTAAATACATTATTTCTCTTTAGCTTTTCAAGAAATAATAATAAAAATGATCTGCTGTCAAGTCATTACCAATTTTGGCAGCCTTTTCCAGGGTTTTCTAAGTTTGAAGTACTCAGAGGTGGTTTATTGGTTTCTCCGTCTGTTGATATTCTGGGACATCCCAACTTACTGAAGGCCACAGAAATGTTAGGGTGTATGACCCTGTCAGGCATAGATAGCCTGGGTGATATCTGGGTCCCACAGTGGACTCTGAAGCCAGGAGCTGCTGTGGCAGCTCTTGCATTCAATAAATTAGAATAAAAATAACTGAGCGAAGCCAGGTAAGGGATGTGGTGGCACTGCGGATTAAACCGCAGAAGCCTCTGTGCTGCAAGGTCAGAAGACCAGCTGCCGTAAGATCGAATCCACGTGACAGAGTGAGCTCCCGTTGCTTGTCCCAACTCCTGCCACCCTAGCAGTTCAAAGGCATGTAAAATGTGAGTAGATAAATAGGTACCACCTCAGTCGGAAGGTAACAGCGTTCCATGTCTAGTCGTGCTGGCCATGTGACCACAGAAACTGTCCTCGGAGGAACGCTGGCTCTACGGCTTGGAAACGGGGATGAGCACTGCATCCTAGAGTTGGACATGACCGGACAAATTGTCAAGGGAAACCTTTACTTTTACCTAAGCTAGATGATTTATAGGAGGGGGAATATCTGCTGGGTACCAAGATTACCTCCCCCCAATGTAGAATGTAGTTAGCAGAAGTATAGGAGAGTGAATGGATGGTTGGCTTAAATACACAGTTGTGATAGAGAACATGCCCCAGATGAGTTATCTGCTTTCCTAGCAGTCTGACACAGAGGAAAAAATGGGGCTGTTTATCCACTGTGCATTAATCCGACTGACAAGGCAAGGAAAGTGAATCTAAAATGCAGTCAGCTTAAGAGGAGATACATAGAAGGAATAAGGATAAGTTAGGAAGAAGTGTGAAGTGTTTGAATGTTGGGCTGGTGAATTTACATTATTTTAAAGGGATCTAGGACTTAAAGGACAAGTAATGAAGCACTGGCAATTGGATGAAATGTTGTAAACTAAATAAAAGTCTTGCTGGATAAGACCAAAGGTCTGTTCCATCTAGTATCCTCTTTCCCTCTTTGGTTAGCCAGCTACCCTGTTTCTCTGAAAATAAGACCTAACCTGAAAATAAGTCCTAGTATGATTTTTCAGGATGCTCGTAATATTAGCCCTACCCCAAAAATAAGCCCTAGTTAAGTGAAAATCTCACTCTCCACCCTTGTGCAGCAGCCAGAAGAATATGGCATGAGTGTATTTGAATAAATGTAGATTGTTGTGTATGGAAAAAAAATCCCCTGAAAATAAGCCCTAATGCATTTTTTGGAGCAAAAAATAAAATAGGACCCTCTCTTATTTTTGTGGAAACACGGTAGGATTTGAGGGCAATTGCTGCTTGGGATCGCTCTGAATTTTTTTTAGATTCTTATAAAGGCTACAGCATTTGAGGGCAATTGCTGCTTGGGATCACTCTGAATTTTTTTAGATTCTTATAAAGGCTACAGCAGTAAGAAGGTGATATGAAAAATGTGGAGAATCTCTATGGTTGTCAACACTAAATGCTCTTATCATGCCGTTTGTGTTTGGACCTTTGGGAGAACTGCCTAATTTAAATTTGATGTGGAAGCAACAACTTTAACTGAATAGTAAATTAGAGATTGAAGAAACTGTTGGTTCCTGTATGGTTCTGCCCAATCATCCAGATTGTGTTCAGGAGCCCAGCTTACTGTCTTGAAGGAACAAAGGGACAGTGTGTGGGAGTAAGAAAAAAAGACTGCCTCCTCCGTGGCATTTAGCTATAGAATTCTCTCTTTTGAAAGGCCCCTACCCCCAGTATTTAGCCAGTGTTGAAAACTTTTCCATGGAGCCTTTGAGGACAGCAGGTAAGTAAGGGTCTTGTTCTGTTTTGTTTGCTCACTGCTCCTTATCTTTTTGGTTTGTTATATACCACCTTGTGGCTCATTGTACTGGAAATTTCCATCACAGAAACATGTTAAATGAAGTAGCAATGACTTATTGGATGTGATAGCACAGAAGGAGTTAAAAATCCAGTGCAAACATTATGAATGTTGGTTGATTCAGGATTAGCAACACCCTAGCCTTTGCTTGCTTCTGTAAACAGTGGCTATAGATTGAAAATAAAAGCTCTTTGAATGACTCTTGGAACCGTTCCCTCCATACATGACTCTTTAAACAAACTCTGAATGAACAGAGTGGGCAAGTTGCAAGATTCTCTGTAATTTATTTTATCTTCCACATTTGCATCCACACATACTTTGTGAAATAGGGGTGGACTGTATGACAGCTACAGACCATTTTTCTGCTTTCTTTGACATCTGTTTGTTAGCAGCCTGTTCAGATGTAGGGCACATAGACATTGTTCAGACTTGATTGTCTGTGTCGAACATAAATAAAGTAGTCTCCGGCCATGTATCTCAGGCAGATGTGGCAACAATGGTAGTATGCAGAAGTGATGGCTTCAGGCTTGTGGACGGGTAACCATTTGTACACTGAACTTCCATACACTGGAAAAAGGTCTTCAAAGAGTAACAGGCTGAGTTTCAGTTGTCTGGGCGTAGCTTGATAGGTTTTCTACATCTGAGCTAAAAACAGTTCTGTAATAATGCTGAATGCATTGCAGCATCTCTGGTAAAGTATGAGTACAGTATGAATTACCTCTGCAGAGACCTCCTTGTCTTAGCCACTCATATAAAATGAACGGATATAAAATTTGAGTGAACAAGTTGCTATCCTCATGACCCCAGCTTCTTGAATTTCACTGTGATGAAAATGACTTTTCCCTCTCTCTCTACCAAGAAAATTACCATAAAAATCTACAGTATACCGCTGTGCATTTGACAACAATCTTTAAAAAATCCTTTTCTTCTGGCTAGCATTTAATGTCCAAAATGCTTCTAATTTATGCTGTAGAAATCAGCTGTGAAAAGTAAAAATGCCAGTTTCTTTTGCGGTATTCAGTGGCATTCTCATGTCCTAATGCATTACAGAACGAAGGTAATAACCTTTAAAAGCAAAGTTAGTTCATTGTTCCAATGTTCAGCTGATCAGGTCATATAAAATCCCACATGAAATCATCATGAGATGGTGTAATTTATTCAGCATCTTCCCAAAGTGTCATTACATTCTTTATCAAAGTTGCACAGCCTGTCTCTTTCTCTTAAGCGGTAAAGCCTTTCTGGAAATAATGAAAACACGGCTGTCATAATTTTTTTAATACCGTGAAATACAGCGTTTCAGATCAGATGACAGTGCTTGTAAAAATGTTTAGATCAGCTATGTAAAAGATGAACCCTGGAAGAGTACTTCAGTTTAGTTATTACACAGTAAAAATGTATAAACTGGGATTCTTTTTAAAATGGCTTTAAATATGTTGAAACATGCAGGATGGAAAAGGGGGAGGGTTACTGCTGTCAGGAAGAATGAGGAAATAAGGCAACTTAATTCTGTCATTAATATTAGTAATCACTTTTTCCAGTACTACCCTATGGTAACAGTTGCAGTAGTTTGAGTACAGAATTACACTTATTTATTTTATTTATTTAAACATTTATAACCTGTTGGTTGTTGTGGGTTTATCTGTCACTGTGATTGATGGGTGTCATTAGCTGATCTTTTTTGTGCAATGCTCCCTTGTGGCTGGGTAGAGTTTGTTGACCTTTTGTAGGTTGTATTTTTCAGAATGGGGCGCCAGGCCGTGTTTAGTTTTAGGCCTTCTTCTTTCCTGTTGAAGTTTTGTTTATGTTTATGGATTTCAATGGCTTCCCTGTGCAGTCTAACATACAGATTGGTGGTGTTGTCCAGTACTTCAGTATTTTGAAATAGAATTTCATGTCCAGCTTGTTCAACGACACCCATCAATCACAGTGACAGATAATCTCTCCCTCCCCCCTCCCTTACCACAACAAAAACACACTGATCACCCTATTTCCTGAAAAAAGACAAAAACCATTCCCACAGCTATAAATACTATCCAACAAACACCAACAGAGCATGGGCAGAGTTCCTACTCCAGTCCTCTGAAGATGCCAGCCACAGAGACTGGCGAAACGTCAGGAAGAACAACCTTCAGAACACGGCCAAAGAGCCCAAAAAACCCGCAACAACCATTTGATCCCGGCTGTGAAAGCCTTTGTGAATACATTTATAGCCTGCCTGGTATCTCAGGATCTCAGGACGGGCTACAAAGCTATATAAAGCATTTTTGACACATTAGATATTTAAAACAATTCAGAAGCATTCCACACAAAATTAAAGCATTTGAACATTAAAAACGTTAAAACCTTTGTACTAAAACCTATGTAGATCATGATCTTCAACCCCCCAAAGGCTCTAATAAATAAATTCATCTTGACTTGGCACCTGTATGATGGAATCATTTGAGCCTCCAAGGAGAGGGCATTCCATCATTGGGGGTGCTTATGGCAAAAAAAATCCCTTCACTGTATCTCCACAAAATGAACTGTTCTCAGGGGTGGGACACAGAAGAGAGCCTCCCCAAGAGATCTTAGTGATCGGGCAGGTTTATATAGGGAGAGGTGCTTCTTTGAATATCCAGATCCCAAGCTATTACGCTTTAAGCTGTAGTCCATGATTTTCAAAAATGCCATGCTTGGTTATGTCTATTCTTTATAGCTTTTCCCAAGTCAATGGGTAAACTCTAAATATTAATATACTCTGTATATATAGTAAGCTAAGAATCCTTGGTCTTTATTTAATCCTTTTGAGGTATATTGGAATCTGTGGATATAATCCACTTCAGTGCTCCCTCCTCCCCTCTTGCTGTACGTGTCTCTCTCATTCCTCTTCTCCACAGAAGTTACTTTGACATCTATAATAGAGTGTCCTGGGAGGTTGAAGTGTTCTGAAACAGGATTTTATGTGTTGCTATCTCTGATGTCAAATCTGAGTCCGTTTACTCTCTTTGGTAAAGATTTCCCTGTTCTTTCTTAATGTAATGTAGAAGACCACTGCTAGGAAATATGACTTGAAATCAATTAGCAGATGAACAAATGATTGGGTAGATCATTAACATTAACAGTGAAACAATTTTGTTATCGTTTCAAGGTGCTACACTTGTATTTGCAAATGTTAATAAATGACAGTTATATGAATGGTGATAGCTTTATGTAGACTGTGAGGGCATTCTTGAAAATAACCATTAGCGCAGATTGAGTAATACTGCCCTCAAGCAAAGCATTTAACCTCTTGCTTAGTGACTCATATTTGGCACAAAAGTTGGCTCTTTTTAAGGAGGCATAGCGGGGAATCAAACTCCTGACCTCTGGTTCTGGAGCCGGAGACCTAAAACACTGGCCTGTCCAGCCAGCTTCTTAAAGTATATACCGTAGTTGTTTGTGATCTTTCCATATGACTTATATGTGTGGGCATCATTAACTGGCTATGTCAACCTATATTGTCCTGAGATCAGTTCATAGCAGGTACTCTCCTGACAAAGCCATCACCCATCATTTTCACATCGTTGCTGCTAAGGATAGTCTTCTTTTAAAATGTTGAGCAGAACCTTTCACATGCTTATTATTTTGTTCTCTTTGAATTTTCACCACCACAAGCAAGATGTTTAAATTGCCAGGTCTCTGTATTTTGTTAGTTTTTCCAATTCTTTATTTTCAACCCCTGGAATGGCAATGATTCAGACGTCTATTCATTCTGTTACTACTATGTCTGGTGTGTTATGTTCAAGGTGTCTTAATCAGTTTTGGATTCGGATATTCCACAAGATCTTGACTTCCTCATTTTCTGACACCTTCTCTCTCTACCTGATATTCCCATGGGTTTTTGGAGACTTTTTTTGGCCACTCTATCATGTCTGATTTTGTAATCTGTTTGTACAGTCTTTGGACATTTGCAGTAATCCACAGCCTCCAATTTTTCATGGTAAATATAATCTGTCCACATCACTTTTTGGATGAGTGCATGATGCATGTTTATTAATTTCTATCTTTTTCGATCCAATTCTTCTAATTCATTTTGGATCCAAACTTTTGTTTTACCTGAATATCTAATTACTGGAACTGCCCATGTGTTTATGGCTTTGATTGTATTTCCACCACTTAATTTTTATTTATTTTCAAAGTGTTTTTTCTTATATTAAGCCTTTGTTTCTGTCATTTTCAAAATATTCTCCATTTTCACTGCCTTAAGTAATTTTCTCTGCTTGTACAGATATAATCATTTAGGCTTATTTTTTCCTCCTCTATTCCCTGCTGTATTTGCAGTAATCCACAGCCTCCAATTTTTCATGGTAAATATAATCTGTCCACATCACTTTTTGGATGAGTGCATGATGCATGTTTATTAATTTCTATCTTTTTCGATCCAATTCTTCTAATTCATTTTGGATCCAAACTTTTGTTTTACCTGAATATCTAATTACTGGAACTGCCCATGTGTTTATGGCTTTGATTGTATTTCCACCACTTAATTTTGATTTTAAGATTTCTTGCAGTCTTTTGATATGTATTCCCTTTCTGTCACTTCTTTGACTTTTGTGTGCATGATGTTATCTGCTTC